TGTCGTGTGTATTGTATGTAGTAGAGTCTATGTATGTATCTCCTTTGTGTCTGTACGCTAGAGCGAGTTGTTAGTGAGAGTAGAGCTTAGTGACGCACAGCACTATGTCCATATTGCGTGTGATGAGCAGCTCGAGCTCCGTAGACCCGTCGCCACCACATCACGTCATGTCTGGCTTAACCGTCGCCCGTACCAATACCAAACCAATCCCCATCACAATACCCAAGGGCCATACCCTTAACAAATCGTGACGCGATGTGCCCAGACAACCTACCCCACAACACCCAAACAATAGGACATTTGGTAACTTCCTCAAAAAACAGCACCCAACACATCCCACCACATTTTCTTACACTACACCCCATAATTATGTTGCACCCTCCGGCGGCCAGCTGTTGGCCGGTCTCGTACCCCGACCTCCCGGGTGAAGCAGCCGCACCCTACCCATTGAGCCACCCACTGTCTATGAACAACATCCTCTTTTTTTTAATGTTTGAAACTATTTTCTTTGAATTAATTACAGGAAAGCGTCCCCACGAGTGCAAGGTCTGCAACAAAGCCTTCAAGCACAAACACCATTTGATTGAGCACAGCCGGCTGCACTCTGGGGAGAAACCCTACCAATGTGACAAGTGTGGCAAACGCTTCTCTCACTCCGGCTCTTACTCCCAACACATGAACCACCGCTACGCCTACTGCAGCAAGGACCAGGACCAGGACCAGGATCAGGACCAAGACCCCGAGGAGATGCCTCTCACCCCGGGGGCCGGGAGCAGCCTCGGGGGCCGCCTCAGCGACGAGACCCGCCTGTCCATAGAGTATACCCAAACCGCACACTCCTTCCTCAGCGATTCTAGTCTGGATGGAGCTGCAGAGGCCTTTAAGGAGGAGGAGGAGGATGAGGAAGAGGAGGAGGATAAAGAGGCAGGAGTTAGTGATAGTCATGAGGCACATGTAGGTTTGTCAGAGGAAGCCAGGGAGCTGGAGAGTAGCCCCATTCAAGGACCACCTATAAGGGAGAATGGAGTGCAAAATGAGAGAAATGGTTACGATGTGGAAAATCATATTGACAATACCGAGAGAGAATTCTGGGAGCAAAAAATGGAGGAGCAGAATGGAGACTTGGACAGATGTGAACTGAGCCATGATATAACAGATTTACCCAGAATAAAAACTTAAGGGTAACTCTAAAAAGCCCCAAAAATGCCTATACTATATATATTTAGACTTTTGATACAGTTTTCTCCAATATGTATACAAATACAGTATGTAACAGTTCCACACATTTTTTACACATTTTTACAAAGTGAAAAAATGCACAGAACTGCCAAACAGTTGCCTTTAAGTGGATGAAGCCATACAACAAAAATATATGGGACAATACCAGTTATAGTATTTTATCATTCAAAATAGACTTGATGTACCTACAATGCTTTTTGTTTGTTTTAGTTTTTGAATCTTTGCCATGACAGCTAAAAAACATGTGGGTTGACTCATCTGAGGTCATGTCACCGGTCCAGATGTGACATCGCAGGAATCTCACTTTTATATGCTTGCTGCTGCCGAATATTGCACAACCAACAAACAAGAGGCCTTCGTATTTTAACGTCCAGGATCCACCTTTTTTTTGTTTGAAATGTTGCGCCTCTTTGCATGTGATCAGGTTAAGAAACAACACCTGAAGGAAAGCTTTGATTGCAGGACAGAAGGAGTCTCACTTTAAAAGTTAGAGCTTAAATGGGCAAGACACATTCAATATTCTGTGGTATCGTTTCATACAAATCCTTACCTCTATTTAAAGAGAAATAACTTGTAAACTGTTTCACATGAAAATACACATATGTTCCATTACTTTTTCCAACAGCCAGTGAGCCTCCTTTTATCATTCATACTGTGAAATAATAAGGTGCAGCCACCTCATCTCTTCTGGTTTTCAATGGCTCAACGGCTTTGACTTATAAGCAGTATATTTAGAATTTTAGAGAACAAGCAGTAAAAAGAGGAAGGTGTTTTTTTAATTTATTTTTCAAACAAAAAGCAGTGGACTGCACATCTTTTGTCATCCTGACATCTCTATATGTCAAGGGGAATAAAAGAAACTTCATTTTATGCAAAAATATATCCTCTTTCTGTTAATCATTTACATGGGCTACAGCTAAGTTTTCTCACCCCCTGAAGAATAATTTGTCACACATTTGGGCTGCGTGTTGAGGTGTGGTGAGAGGGTCAAGACTCAGGACACACACATCAGCTTTGAACTTCCTCTTTCCGACTGCAGTGTAGTCAACGTGAAAAGTACCTCAGATGTACTGAGACACTGTGAGTAATCCGACAAAGCCATGGTACGAAGAGATAAGACGGTGGTACATGAGGTGTGACTAAGCCTATATGTACTCATGCATACCGTGTGCCAAAGACACTTCTTGGTTATTGTGTGTGTGTGTGTGTGTGTGTGTGTGTGTGTGTGTGTGTGTGTGTGTGTGTGTGTGTGTGTGTGTGTGTGTGTGTGTGTGTGTGTGTGTGAGATCGGAGGGGACGCAGGAATGGGTTTAAGCCACAGCATGAGGCATTCTTCTAAAAATGCCATTCCCACCAAGCCACAGAAGCAGCCAGCAATTGCTCAAAACTTCCACATTAAAAAGAGAGGAGGAAAAAGGAGAGAGGGGGGGAAAAGAGAGAAAAAAGAGCGAGCGAGGAGGGCGAAGAGAGAAAAAGAGAGAGAGGTTCCAGTGGTGGCGGCGGTGGTGTTGGTATGCCTTCCAGCAGACGAACCACAAGGCTCCCATGGGACCTTCGAGGCAAGGAGGAGAACGTGGGGAGAAGGCGAGGGAGGAGGGAGAAAAAAGGAGAAAGGGATGGAAAGACGAGGATGAGAGGAAGAGGAGGAAAGGGAGGAAGCAAAGAAAAGGAAGAGAATAAAGAGTAAAGAAAGGAAAGGAAGGTAGGAGATAAGGCGATAGGGGTGAGTGAGCAGGGAGATAATAAATGAGAAACAGAGCCAGTCGGGGAAAGGAATGACAGTGGGGAGAAAATGAGAGAAAGACACAGAGTTGACAAATTCATGGGGCCCACCACACCCTGGCACAAACATCGGCCTCTGAACACGAACGCTCACCCCTGGAGTGGAAGGAAAAACCATAGGCGGTAAAAAACACACATTTTATGTACTGTAAAAGGAACTGGCTCGCAGAACATCGTACACCATTCATCTTCCTCCAGCCTTTTCATCTTCACAGAGACCCAAACTTAACAACAGTGCGATCATGGTACAGCACTGGCATACTTTGAGAACCGCGGCCAAAGAGTCCCTGACAGAAAATTACTGACAACGACAAGGAAACTACCCCCTCTTGTGGTCACATTTTTTCTTTTCCTTCAAGGGCAGTGCACAAGGTTCATTCCTTCACGCCGTTAAATCCCATTGGGAATATTCTGCATTGTGCCAGTTTTAGGGAAGACAAATGAGAGACAGCAAAGACAAACACTTCAGCACAAATGTAACATATGCGTTTTTTGTTCCCGGCCTCTCACCGTTGGAGATGGCGACACATGAACTGCAGCGTGTCATGGTTCGGAGGAGGCATGTTGAGCACCAGACACTTCAAACGATCCACTTTGTCCATGTAGTCCGACATCTCTGCAACACAGAGCAAGATCACAGTCAATGTCTTCATTTGCATTCCACTTCATGAACTTCATGAGCAGTGGAAACCAAATGTACATTCGCTTACTGATATCACACGTGCTTTATCAACAATGATCTAATCTGATATAACAGCATGGAGTTATCATTCTCATTAATATGCAAGTTTATCACTGAATTTAATTAATTTGGAAATGCTATCTACTGTTTTATGATAAGTCAAATACATTCTGATATTTTGTTTAATACCGATTAAAGATTAAAACCGTGATCAGTAAAATTATACTAACAAGACTATGTTTGCCTGATTTGGTTTATTCTACATTGTTGTTTAAACTATTAAAGACATTATTAAGTTGCACTGAATGACATTTTACTTTATTATGATGCTATAGTACTCACTGGAGCACTGTGTTTTAATCTGCAGCTGAAAATAGTCCCCCAAAAAGCACTACACTCTATTTTTGAGTTACATTTTCACTTTAACCTAATGCCTTTTCAAAAATGTAACAATATATTTATGAACCGTTTTAGAGATTTACATCAGAATGAACGGCCACAAAAAAAAAGGAAGTTGTAAAGCAAATAAAAATGAAAAAACACATTGTTGGTTTTTGTGTGTTCGGGACATTTGTTAACAAGAAGAAAAATATAGAATAAAGCGGGAGTTGAGGATAATTAGAGTACGAAAAAACGCAGCTAACGTGAGGATTTTTTGTTGTTGCAGTAAAACCATAACTTCATTTGGGTTAAACACTGCTCAATAAATTTATCTTTTGTCAGTATGTAATTATTCCTCCCTCTCCTTGGAACTCATGCAATTTTCTTTTTTGGAAAAAAACATTTGATTTAACCGTGTCCATTTATCTTTCATGATATATGTGGTGTTTTGCAGTGTTTCCTAGATGTGGACAAACGTGCTGTAAATTCAGTGTATTCTATATTGAAGAAAATGACTTTCACCGCAGCTTGAGAAAGTGTGAAAGCATCCAGGAAAAGAGGGGGTGAACTCTCTCACACAGACTGTCCTGGTTTTGACTCATTAAAACCACAGTATTGTTGCGAGGATTCAGAATAAAAGCACAGCAAAGGAAAAATAACAAAGTGAGATTATAAATTATCCAATACGAGGTTAAAAGACGCTGATCCTGTAATTTGAACAACCTCACTTTGAATATGACTAGGGACTGGATGGACGTAAGTGCTTGTGTTGATTAATGTGCATTTCCTTTTCTTAAATAAATAAAATACATTCAAAAAAATATTTTCACTATTCCTAATTCTCTAGTTTTCTACACATAATAAAAAAAAGTCCTAAATATCCTGAAAAAACATATCCATTAAAAAAGCATTAAGGTTAGATTGATCAAAGATGAGTACCATTCTTTATTATTATTTACAGTAATGGGGGATGTGTACAGCAGAAATTAAATGAACTGGGGCTGAGGCGGGTCACTCACTGACTGTCTCCACGATGTCGGTGAAGAAGCCGAAGGGCACGAGGGGCTCGGGAAGCTCGCGAAAGAAAAGTTTCAAAGCTCCCGTGATGACATGAATGTCCTCCCAGTCGCTCTGGTCCAAATTCAGCTTCTCTTCTGAGGGACAGGGAGGGAGGAGGGGGGAGAAATTCAAACAGACATTGTCAGAAAAAGTGCATGAAATGCAAGACAATGTGAAAAAGAGAGACAACGGGTTAGAGTGAGTTAATGAAAAAGAGAAGTGGAGTTAAAGTGACATTATTGTTAAGCCAACAACATAATTAAAGTGTGAATTCATGTCGGATTGAGGCGTAACACGAAGGCTTGTAGCTGCAGGATGGAGATAGAAAAGCTCTTTGAAACGTCAGAGAAGCACAAACACATGTAAAGCAAACATTCTCTTAAAATCCAGGCCTGACCAATGCTTCTCAAATTGGATCATAAAATCAAAGGGAAAACAATAAAAGGCTTTGATTGAAGTTCTTTATGATACAATAAGAATCAATGATGAGAAGCGTTGGTCAGTGAGATGCTGCTGTGGGATTATAGAGCACTTCACAGTGTGTGAGCTGCAGCTGATTCTCTGTTTCCTCCACTTGGTGGCAGCCATGTGCCGTGCGAGGCGTCGCTGTACAACCTGCCGCCTGTTATTATATCAGAAAACTTGAAGCAGGAAAGCCTAAGGGACACACATACATTAAGCAAATGGTAGCACAAGCAGCAAACTGTACTGAGCACGTCTGTGCCGCAGATCAGCCCTGCGTGTGGGGAGTTTCTGACTGAGGTGTTCACATTATGCAACAAATGATGCACAAATATAAGCAGGCCGAGTGACACGTTCAAGCAGCCGCTTTCCCCTCGTAAATCTGAATCTACCTTGTACAAACTCCGCCGGGAACATGTAACGGCCGTCTGTAGTCACCGCTCGCTCTGCAAAAACCAACAGTTACTCAAAGGGCTTTCCTCAGCGTCCACCAAATGTAGTGGGAGTGAGACAATCAGGATTCAAGCAGGTGTGTGCAAGCGTACAATATACAAAACAGCATCAGAAAGCATTCTGAAAAAAATAGGAAGGGTTAAAGTGTAATCCTTTCTGATGTCCAATTGTAAACTCCACCACTTCTCTCTGTCCCCAGCATTTCATTCACAGGTTTCATTCATGGTAAGAGATGAAATGAATTAAAATAACTTTGAGAAATATCAAAATAATTCATATCATTTTCTCTCTCTCGTTACTGTAGCTAAACGTTTTTGAGTCTTTCTTTTAAATGTCTTTTCAGAACTGCTCCCCGAAGACATTCAATTCACCAAAACGAGTTTTTATCAAACCTTGTGGTCAAAAGAAAGATTGTTTTTGTGTGTATGAAATATTTGAAGCATTTTTCCCAGACAGTTTCCAAACAACTTGAGTTTCTTTAATGTAGATGTTTCTCTCTCTTTGACATCTACCTGGCACCACTTCTCTTCCCCCCCAACATTTCCCTAGCAGGTTTCATTCATGGTCCGAGATTAAATGAATCAGCATTAATTATAGATATAGTTCAGTTATTCCCCTCCTCCCCTTCTTCCTCACCGTGGTCCACCAGGAAGCGTAGTTTCTGGATCACTGCCAGGTTCCCTGAGACTCTGTAGATGCCATCAGTGTCCAGTCCTGTCAAATTACGCAAATAGCTGGTTAGGTCACTGGCATGAGGGTTCAGATCGAAACCAAAGTGACACATTTCTCGAGGCAGTCAGAAATTATATCATTGGTTTTGCTTCTGCACATCCATTATTTAGCCAGCCTGGGAAGTTTGTTTTGTTGCCTAACTTCCCAAAAGTGTTTGGATAAAGTCAAGCAAAAGCAAGTTTCGACACATCTAAATATGTATATTGCTGAGTTATATGATGACATGATTATTTTTCCACACTGGTTTGATGTTGTAGATCAGGTCAGACAGTGTAAACAATTCATTATTAACATCCTCAATTGATATTTTCTATTCTTTCTTTCTTTTCTATAAGTGGTAAAAAAATCTAGCCTAGATCTTTTATTGATCATTGGTCACTTTAACTTCATTTTATTTCCCTTTAGATTAAAACGTGTTGCCAGCGTTTTATAATATCTCTAGGAGCTGAAGTTGAAAAAGTTGACAAAAACATGAATCGACATCAGTTTTTTATCCACAGAAGAAAAGACAAGTTGCAGCTTCTAAAATGTCTACATATTCAGATTTTCTTCGTGTTCAGTTGAGGTTAATGTTATACTGTAAAACACTGGGTAAATACAAGAGGCATTTTCTGACATTCCGTCACATCCTTGAGTATAAATGTCCAAAAGTGCTCCTTGAAAATATTCTATTCATTATAACCAAAGTTTTTAAAAGCAATACTCAGAATAAAGTTGTTTTGGTGTGTATGAAATATTAATTTAAAAGTACTGTTTCCACACAGTTCCCAAACAACTCCATTTTCTCTAATTATATCTCTATCTTCGGTTGGCAGCTGTCAGAACTTTGTTTCTGTTGGTCTTTCATCTCTGTCAGACAATCACAAAAAAAATGTCAGTAAATGTTTGCTAAGTGATTTATGTCAAGAAGCTGAACAATAAGGTGCACAAATGCTTTTATGTGACTAGTGCTCAAAACAGAATAAAGGAGTGTTTCCTCTTGCGTGCCCCTCTAAGTTGAGCATCACATTAGCAGGAGCTGGCTGTGTGTTTGCAGTGTTTGTACCTCTCTTCTCCACAGCTTCAGTACAAAGCCTGACGAAGCGAGGCACGGTGCTCTTCTCTCTCTCACAGAGCATCTCCAGACGACAGCCAAACACCTGATCTGAAGGGTGATGGCAGACGGACACAAACACACTTTTTAATATCTTTTCAAAAGTTACTTTTTTCTTCAAAAAACTGTGCCGAGACATGATGTAAAAGCTACAGGCTCAAATTAATCTAAGGATAAATTCACTGTTCACTATGGAATAAAACCCCGATGTTCCCAGGAGCGATATAAGCTCACCTTTGATGATGCAATGCAGCTCACGTACTGTAGGCCTACTATATATACAGTATACAGTAGGGTGAAAAACCCCAGCATACGCAACACTTTACTTCAGAGTTTGGTACCAAACTGGTTTTAATGCCAAATGATCAGACTTTGAAAAACTTGTTTGGTATAATCTGATTAAATCAATCAGTTTATTAGATGGGAGTAGGAGTAGTCATTATTTTATAAATGTACCGTCACTTCCATTCATTTAAGAGGCTTCTTCAGTTGTAATGACATGCAGGAAATCACATAACGCCCCCTAGTGGAAGAGGATGTTGTTGAGATTACATATCGTGTTGGCATTATGTCGAAGCTTTGTGTGATGTGTAGCTTTCAATCCTGAACTGTTACTTTTTTTAAATTATGAGGAGCTGCTGGCCTTGAGATCACTGGCTATATCTGGCGACAGTTTTGTTGGGTACCTTTGCTGCCCTGGATTTCCTCCTCTCTTTCTGTCCCCTTGCTATTGCTCCCTGTCGCATAAAGAACTTAGAATATGGAGAAAAATAACCCAAATGATCGCCTCAACTTTTGAGAACAAACCATAGCTAGTTTTGTTCTCCTATGGTTGATTGCACAATGTAAGTCATTTTGGATGAAAGCCTCTGCTGAATAAATGTAATGAAATGTAATGTTATAATGGTGTTGTAATCATCAGACAGGCAGAGTGAAATCATTTCATTTTGGAGAAGCTGTTACAGGCAAGAGGATTGCGATGCGTATTCACTCTGGGATATGGCATCATTGCAGAATGAGATTTCCAGCCAGCCAACTTTGATGCAGCTCAGTTAAGCAGCAAAACATGTTCAACTTCACAACAAAAGACCAGTGAAAAATGTATTTGTAAAAGTCTTGGTTTATTTAACGCTGTATACTAATGACCAGGGACTTGCACAGACATTTGGAGGGGCTATTGCTCTAAACGAAAATACCTTTTGAAAATTGTAACTTGTTTTTAATGTAAAAGAAACCAAACGATTATTACATAAACTAAATTGAACAGTAATTCACATCTCATAACAAAATAAGCTAAGGCGACTACTTGCATTCGGTGACTTGATTTTAAAAATGAAAATCAGGGAAATGTTTTGTTTTGCGGTCCATATCTCATCAAAAATATCTAATGTTAGTAACTATTAAAGACAAAATGGGGACAATTCTGTTTTAATGTAGTTTGACCATTGTAACTGCTGTGCAGTCCAGACATACTGATAAAATAGGGCCTCTAACTAATTACCTTAAATAAACTCACTAATTAATTAATCCAGTTCAATGATGAGCGCAGTAACGGTAAGGTATCTAATTACTTATTTATTTAGTATTCCATAACTTAATAACAGAGATGGTCAAACTGAAGTAGAGACATGGCAGAAATCCTACAATGAAGCGGGACAGTGAAGTGTTCACCCGTGAGAGGGCGATAAAGAACAGAGAGCGAGCGACCCCGTTGAGGGAGTTTACAGATGAAAAGACACAGAAAGACAGAAGCACAATAACAACAAGTAGGAAATATTTAGGTGTATTTTTGTAAATAACCCGACGGTATCAAAGGTAGTAAAGTCTGGTTTTCCTATACCGACTAACTGCTGCCATGACAGACTCAAAATCAAGTTTCTCCCAAAAATCGACACTGAGTGGTCTAGCTCGAAGTGTTGAAGAACAATAAAAAGAAAACGGAAAAAAACAGAAAAAAAGAAAATAAAAAAGAAATGAAAAAAAAAAACAGCGACAACATTCCCGCAGCGAACGTAACATACAATCAAAGGAGCTTATCATGAGTGATTCGGGCCACACAAAAAAAAAAAAAAAAATGTACAGAATAAAGACAGAATAACAGAAAAACAAAACTCTCGCTCTCTCCAGAGGGCAGCGTCACCAAGAAGGCTAAACGGCCGTTCCGCGGCCAACCATTAGCCCTTTACCTGAACAACGTCCTGCGCTGACAAAGGGATACTAGCCTTACAAATAAAGAAATATGAAAATGTTACCGTGCTTTTTAATAGAGGCCTTTCTCCTGCAGCGGCCTGCAAGAGGGGTCTCTAGATCAGTTTCTCAGCCGGTCTTCAACTCTCTTTTTCCTCTCGTGTTCTCCAGGTGGACGACAGCAGGACCTGCAAAGGTGGAAAGTGAGAGAGAGGAGGTTGGAGGAGCAAAGAAAGGAAGGAAGAGAAGAAGAAGAGGAGGTCAGTGCGGTCGTGAGAGGGCAGGAGAGCAGATGAGTGGGATGGCTGGAGATAAAGAGGGGAGGCCGGGGCGGCGAAGGAGACAGACGCAGGGATATTGCCCATTGGACGCGTGTGAAGATATAAGGTGGCTGGATGGAGGAAGGATGGAGGAAGATGGAAGGATGGTAAGAAGCCTGTGGGAATTAGAAAAAAAACAGTGATGATGATCCCGAATGGAGAGTAAACGAGGTGGAGTGGAGAGACGGGTATAGGGAGGTAAGTCAGATGAAGATGAGATCTCGTGGGGGGGGGGGGGGGGACTTACGCGCGGTCCTCCTGTCGTCCTCGTCTCCACTCTGCTCCAGCATATCCACGCTGCCTGCCCGCCTCAGGGAGTACAGCAGCACGTTGTCCAGCGGGTTCTCACGGTCCTGGAAGGCAGGTAAAGTGACATTTTGGGTTAAATTACTCACATACAAAAAAGTACACCACCTACAGTTTGAATCACATTTTTAAAGAGGCTCTCAGAACTCCATTAAGCATTTTAAATATATATTTTTAAAGGTTTTTTTGAAGCGCTTAATGTAGATTGGCTTTTTTAAAAGCTAATTTGCTGGATTCTTGCTGTTGAGAATTTGTTTCCTCATGGTTGATTGCACTTATTATAAATTGCTTTGGACACACCTACATAATGTAATAATAACATTTACACACATATCTTAAAGGTCCCATGTCATGCTTTTCTGGTTATTACCCGTCCCCTTGTGTGTTATGAAGCTTTTTCTGCATGTAAACGGTCTGCAGAGTCACAAACCCTCAAAGTACACCCTGTAGCGAGTAAAACTCTAACACAGAAAAGACCTGTCTATGCTGCCCCAGAACGCCTCGTTGGAGATTTCTCTTTTTCTTCCTGAGTATGGTGACATAACCATGCCCTGGTTCAAATGGACCAATCCGTGGAGCTCCTCACACACACACACACACACTCACTCAGCCTTATCTTTTCCCAGCTGCGGCTCCGTGGATTTCTCCGCCTGGGACTCAGCCAGCTGTGAGTTTGTGTGTGTGCTCAGGCTGAGTTCAGGCTGAGTTTCGCGGTGTCTTGCTGTCTCAAAGACCCCACGCAGCAACCAGGAAATGAATGAGTGCAGGAATGAGTCTTAAAACCCGGAAATTAGTTAGCATTTTTGCACTTTTGGTTCCCTCGTCTCAACGTTCCCTCGTCTCAACGTCCCGCCAACACGGCAGGACAGAGAGTGAATACACATACTATACAGAGACGCTGTATGAGAAACCAATGTGAGTTTGGAACATTGAACAATATAAATCTATTCTAGTAGACCTCAACAATGGAATTATGATCAGTAGAAATGGCCATGACATGGGACCTTTAAAACCCATTAAAAAAAAAGATAGCTGTCATCTGTCAAAAGGAAAACTAAATGATTTGTTTCTAATATTCTTAAATCTGATCTTAAAAAAAAATAGAGAAAAGAAGACAAAGAATAAGGAAGTTGTTAAAGGATGTGTGTGCACTCCTAACATTTATATACTAATGGTATGACACTATTATCCTTCAAAGGAAAACTATTTTACCACTAATAGAGAAGTGGCACAATAAAAGGTAGTCTGTGTCTGTGTGTATGTGTATGTGTATGTGTATGTGTATGTGTGTGTGTGTGTGTGTGTGTGTGTGTGTGTGTGTGTGTGTGTGTGTGTGTGTGTGTGTGTGTGTGTGTGTGTGTGTCTCACCAGCCTGTCGATGACGCTCTGGATGGTTTTGTACCACTCTATGATCAGCGAATTTGTCTCTGACTGCAGCAGGAACTCATTGCCCGTCACTGTCCTCAACTAAAACACACATACACACATTTATAATGTATTAATGTGTGACACAATATCCATACAGCTCCCAGACGATGATATAAAATATACATATATATATATATATATATAAATATATATTTATTTGTTTACACTTTTTATCCAACAAGTTAGTCAGCTGTCATGTGTCAATCTCTATTGTCTTGATTTCAAAGATACACGTACACGCCACAAATAACTGGAAAATGTATTATTACAGCTTCCTCTTCTTTACTGAGGCTAAATGCAAAGTAAAAAACTCCCCACTCTCACTTCCTCTGCTGATAAGGACCCCCTGCTGACAGAAATATGACTTTATGTTTTACTACTTGCTAACACTGTCTTCACTTTATATCAGCCCACAGCAACAATTGTGTTTACAGTTATTTGATAAAAACAGATGAATTACACATGAGAGTTTCTTACAGCAAGGTTGAGGAAAGATAAAATTATATCTGGAGATCTTTTCACTGAATTTCCTGAATATTAATCCACTTCTTTTTTTTACCTTGAAGACATTCTTCTTGCTGGACAAGTTGTTGGCCCAGTGCAGCTGTGCTCCTCTCAAATCCACACTGCTTTCAGGGCGACTGTTTCCTGGTTTCTGTTGATCAATTTACAGGCACACACAAACACAAAACATGTTTTCTTCTATTAGTTGGTCAGATTGACTCACACATGTTTCTAAAAATTGAGTTTGGGTGTTTTCTTTTCCTGCACGGGAAGCTGTGGCTCAGTGGATAGTGTGCTGGACTTCGAATCAGGGGATAGCAAGTTTGAGTCCCACTGCAGTCATTAAGAGCAACTTTCAAACTCAACACCTGCATCAGATACGTTTGACCTGTTTTGTGAACACAGGACTGAATGTGTGTCATTTCACAGCAAGGAGCCATGAATGAAAACAGATTCATAGAACACAAGCAACACAGTGCTCTTTTTTTGGGTTTGTCAAAAGCTACCGACTTCAAATGTTTAAATCTAAAATGACACTCTGTGCAATAAGTCACAAGACTTGGCTAAGGATTGTTAAATAAAGAAATTAGCTTCATGGAATGATTTTTCACCCAAGTTACTTTTAATATACTGGGAAATAAACATGAATTGATTGTTTATACAATGAAATGTGTACAAAAGCTCTAAACCTTGGGTAAAAGCTTGAGACACAGTTTATCTGAGCTCTTACCCAGCTGGAAGGTGTCTGTGATTTAGGATCTTTGAAGAAAACCAAGCTGTTCCCGACCAACACAACCCAGGAGGGGCTCCAATTTTTCCTGCAACACAAATACCCCAACAATACTTATCTGATCAGCACAGCAACTTATACTTGCCTTCATTTATTTAAACATTATTCATACAAATAGATGCAACCGTTTTTGTCTTCAATGGGAGCAGGCTCACCTCAGTTTCCGGCCTCCTTCTGCAATCTTTGTCTTGTTTAGGAGGCCAGCTTTCTCCAACTCCTGATGACACATTAAAATAACTTAAAGCACAAGAGCTTAACTAAAGCAGTGTTATTCATAACGTCACACTAATGTCATCTCTCACGGCAGGCAAAACAATTGGTTTGATTAATAAAAGGTAACGGTAAAGCAGAGGGCTTTTCCTCTGTGTGATACACTGCATCCTGAGAAAACCCATTTAACTTGAATGTTGCATCATTCAAAAAATAGCAGGAGGGGAGCTGCTGAATCTCCCACTGCGCTGTGGCCCCGTTTAAGTTCTAAGAGAAACGTATTCATGCCAACTATCTATTCATCCGTATGGAGTACAGTATATGGAGGCAGTGAATAACAAACTGAGGAAAAAATGTGCCTTTCAAAGAGAAAACTAAAGAAGAGAGAATTGAAAAATCGAAATTTGTAAAACAATTGCAACTTGTTTTGCCAGATACAATTCGGGATAAATAGACCTAAGATATAAATGTTTTTTATTTATTTTTCAAAATGAAATACATGCAAATAAAACCAAAACCATTTGCTTTATGATTTTTCTCCAAGGGATACTTGTGTGTTTTTAATGCTAATAGTGAGTCGCCCTTTAATCACTACGCAACAGATGAAAAGATTCCGATGACAATATGTTTACCACAATTCTCTTGGCCTATCGCCATTTCAGGAGAAATACGCTTCTGTCAGGACTGAATTTAAAAAATCTGTGTTTATCTCTTGATGAAACAGAACTGGTGAGAAAATGTCAAAGATTTAGCCTTTTCACACAAAACTAAAGTCCTAGAACTTCAGTAGAAAGCCAGAGCTACCTGAGCCTGATGGTCACTGCCTTGTTTTTGTAGCTGTGTTTTTACTGCCAAGATAATCAACAAAAGGCTGATTATGTGTTTGTTCTACTCAGAATTACTGTGAGGAGAGTCTGCAGAAAAGGGGTAGGTTCAAAGTTGAGGATAACAGATGCTTAAGAGGTACTGTTTGCCCAAAGCCGTCTTTTGCTAAGTATTAACACAAATATTAAATATTTGGTATTTTCATTCCAGAAGATAAAAGCAGTGTTTTTCTCACCGGTGTGCCGCCATCGCTGTCTGGAGAGCTCTCAGGAGACGGAGGCTCCACAATGATGTTGGTCACATTACAGGAGTAATCTCTGCACTGATGGATCAGCTGAAAAACAGGAAGTAGGCATCATCAGCTGCTTCAATCCTCTGCATGTGTATATGTCCAGTGTTTTGTGTGAAACTGATACACATCTGCATTTCCCTCTGCATGTCGGTGAATACTGAACACCAAATGTATGACTTTGTTTGTTTGTGCTCTAGAGGCGAGTACCTTGCCGTTCTCAGGCAGGATCATAGATTGGGAGTGGCTGAGCTGCGGCTTGGCATCATGCAGGGCGGCAGAGTTATGGCACTGGGCATCAGTGAACGACATGGTGCTCAGGGTGCCAGAGGAGACGGCGCGCTGCATGCTCTTCAGGGGTTAAAGGTGGGGGGCATATTTTTGGGTTGGGGGGAACAAGGGAAAGGGTAATCACTAAGTTATTGTGCGTGAATGGAAAATGAAATACAATATGCTGCCACTGATGTATGTGGATCTTGTGAGAGCTGATACGTATTTGCTTTCTTTGGAATGACTTCACTGAGACAATGGAATAACCTTTTTTTGTTGTTATATTTGTTGAATATTTAAGTATTTAGATTGTTTTGCCAAAAGCAACCAATTAAAATCACAAACAAGCAACAGTAAGGAGCAACAAAAAGGTTAGGGCTTTTTCCCAAATTAAGCATGCAGTTCATGCAAACAAGCATTCAAAACCTAATCATATCGGCAATGAAGAAGAACAATACTAGTTTCCCCTAGTGTAGCAGTATAGAGTAAAATAGTATGATGTTTATTCCAATCTGCTGTTCCAACTGTTTGGGTCATGTTATACATAAAAGGAGGACCTTTTCCCACTGGCTGGACTTTTTACTCATTAATACATTTTCAGTTTCAGTGGATGTACAGTATTTCCCTATTCAACTCGGTTTTTCTGACTAATGGACTGGAAAGTTCTGAATAAGATTAGAAAGTGCCACAGTCTGACACAGATCATTCTTGCGTGGGCTTAAATGTCACCCCACCTCAAACTGCCTCCACATCTGTACTTAAACAGGTTCACTTATCTCGCTCTGCACTCAGTTCTCTCAGGAGGTATCATACATTGGCAAACATTATGAAACCTTGTGCCATGTCGGATCAATTCTGAATAAATCTGCAAGTATTCAAAAAATCCTCTTTGGGGAATGAAACAATGCATAAACCTTACTTCATTCAAGTACGACCTGAAGCATTCCTTCCCTCTGAGACTGATGAGACAATTTCTTGAGCACTTTACAAACTGGCAAATGAGGACAAACTGCAGCTTCCTTGAGAAGTTGACATTTCTTCACTTCACCAGAGGAGCAGGCGCATGTACAGAATGTACATCTTTACTCTACACACAAAATATGTATGCCAATAATTCCACACGTGTACAGATACAGGTGATCGTGATTGCTCACATGCAGACATTCCCACAACTTCAACTCTTCATTCAGCAGCAGCAGCCACATTTAAGTACCTTTCCCAATCCCTGTAACCTAGTTTCAACAATCAGACTTAATATCCCTACTAATGTTTGCCATCTTTTCATGCAAGGAGGATTAGCACTAAGAGCCAAATCTGCTCCTTTGCTAAGAAGAGGCAGTTAAAAGGGCTTTATAACCAAGCGCACCCACACCCCTCTGTGATGCAACATGTTGCAGTAAGAACTGCTTGGGTAACAGCCTTTCTTTTCACACCATGAGTTGCTATTTTCCCATCTTAATATGCATAAATGCTGAACTGTGAGAATGTAAAAAGCATAGCTGGCATTACTTTAATGTATTCTACAGCGATACAGTGGATATGCAGTTTTTGCAAATTTAACGACTCGACGATTTCATTGATTTTCAAGAGGAAAATACCTTCCATCATCAAAAGCCCTTTAAGCACTTATAAAACACATAGGATTACCCTCCCAGTCAGGCATGCAACACAAGTAACAAGGAAAGAGTTTTCAGATTTTAAAAGAAGAAGAAGAATAGGAAGTCTTAGTAATCTATAGATACTTATGTACAGACATATATTTAATGATTCTGCTGGCGCTGTGCAAACATGTAGCAGGATTCTTTCTTGACATACTGTAAGGTACCAGAGCTGTGTGGTGTCCGGTTTTGTTAAGCAAATGCATCCACTACTGTAAGGAGAATATGTTAAACTGATAATAAGGTTTATGTTTTACTTCACTTTTTGATGGTTGATTTTTACAAGATGAAACTCAAGGTGAAATGCATTAGCCCTCATTGCATTAAAAGAGAGCGGCAGGAAGAGACTTGTTTCACCTGTTTCATCTGCCAGCCACCGTCAGCATTCCTCTGGTGGCTCCCGTAGAGGAAATCAGGTGACAGCTAGAAGGAATGAGAAAACAAAGAGACAGAAAGACAAAGACAGGAAAGTGATCAGTAATTATTTATATTTAATTTAATTTGAAGCACAACTTAGACTTCTGTTTATTTTACTGGCACCAATAATGAATTTCAGGCTTTTGTGTCTACATTTGTCGATATTAGTGCAACAAAGATTTGATCAAA